GGGGTTACCTGGAGGTAGAGACTAGCATTATCCTTCCGGTCAAGGCTGGGCATGATAAGTGGCAGAGAGAACATGCTGGAGACGCCTGCGCTGACCAGGTCCAGTATCTCAGATAAGTAGAACGGTGGGTTCACCTGGCTGGGGGGAGGGGCAGGGGATGAAAAGGGCATTAGGGGGTCCACTGAGGGGCTGGGTAATGATTCTAGGACCCTCTAGAGTAGCCGACTCTGCTGCTCTCTCTGAAGTGCAAGAAACAGTGGGTCCCTTTCCAATGGCCCCTTGGCAAGGCAGGGGAGCCCTGGCTGTCTGGGCAGCTTCTCTCCCTTTCGTGGTGAAATTGGAGAGCAGCCCCACCACCCCAGGACACAGGCAGATGAAGTGGCAGTGATGGAGCTCTGCACTCACAGCCCCAGATGCAAGTCCCCAAGCCGTGTCCTTCTTCCCAACCCAAGTGTTCTCAGCATCAGAACCCCAGGGGTGATGCAAGGGTCACAAGAGGAAAGGAACCTTAGAGCCACGACACAGAGCATGGCCTGCTGACGCACGTTGTTATCCAGAGTCTCTGTGGATTCTTCCAGGATTAATGTCTAGAAGGGAAGAGGGAGAATTGAGACTTCCCTTCAGACACTCCAACCTGTGCGTCTTTCTGGGGCTGTCACCCTTATCCCTAAATGACCGATTCCCAGAAGAACTTGGGTCTTCCTTACCTCAATTTTCCTAGCCAGGGTGGCTTTGGGATAATAATCATTCATATTGCCATTTCCCTTGGCACGCACAGCACCACTCAGGATTTCCACAGCCTTGAGGAAATTCTGCTTCTCCATTGTGGACTAGAACAAAACAGAGAGCCCTGCCCAGCCCTTCCTTTACAACTGAGCAATACCCAAGACCTGCAGCCCACTCTGCCCCTCACACCCAGCCCGGACTCAGAGCATCTTAATAAAAAGGACTTCAGATGTAGCTCAGTGGAAGGGAACTTGCCTAACATGTGCAATTGATTTCCTCAGCATTGTGTGTCCCAGCTCCCTCAGTGGGTGCTCACCAATATCCTGGGCCCCTCTGTTGCCCCCTAAAGACAGCAGGAATAGGGGTGGATACCAAGACCTGTGTCCCAGCCACCCTCTCTTGTGGACTAGCCACCAAGATAGCCTCAGATTAAGAGGCAGCACCAGGCTGAATGCCAGGGGGCTTCCACACCAGGACTAGTTCTCCAATCCTAAAGGAGCATGAGCACTCATTTTTTTTTCCTCCTCAGTTCCTGAAAAGTTCCAGAGAATTTCCTTACCATGTGTTCTTGTTCTATAAACTCCAGAATTAACCAATAGGCTTCTCTTTCTGATTGGCGCAACTCTGGAAAGGGATGTCATAGGAAGGAGTTTAGCTGATTCTAGCAGATGGGCTGGGAAGGAAAAGCCATCCTCCCCCCACCTCCCACTAAGAAGGCTCAGACACTCCAGGGCTCTGGTGCAGGTGTCTGGGTTTCCAGGTCCAGCTTCTTTAGGTGTAGTACCACTCTAAAGTGTAGTACCACTACACTCTGTGAAGCCCAGAAGCCAAAGTGGAAGGCATTCAGGTGGGAACTTAAAGGATTTTCTGCACCAAACCAGATGTGGCCAGGGATGGAAGAACAACTGGGAAAAGAGAAAGCTTTATGCTGTTCCCTGTGGCTACTGACTTACGGTGTGGTTGCAGACTGGCTTTGGAGTTCCTGGTGGTGAATGGACCTGAAACTAAGTCATCCTTGGAGCCTCCCTGGTCAGCAGGGGAGTTGTGAGGGGTCGGGGGTGAGGGATGGTGGCAGCATAGCTCGCGTGGTGTCTCAAGCAGCAAGTGAAGACACACAGGGAAGCTAGGGAAAGAGCCTGTGCACCCCAGGTAGTCAAGAGGAGATAAAGCAAGAGAATGAAATGGTGGCAGTGCTGGGCCTTGGGGCACCCTAGGCAACAGCCCAGGTTCGGGCTGCTGCTGCCCTTTCATCCTGCTCTGCAGGCAGAGAGGTCCCAGCATAGGGCTTCATGCTGAAGTGCAAGGCTTAAAATGAAACCACTGCTCGGTTGCATCAAAGTTCAGCTCTTCTACTTCATTAGCCCCGTGACCCCCAGCAGATTAAACACTGTCTACTTTAGTCTCTGTGCCTGTGCAAGAGAAGCTGAGACTCTCTATTGTGAAGTTTAATGAAATGATCATGTAAGGGGTGATCCTGAGCAAATCAAATTCTCCCAATTGGTCTCCTGCAATAGTGATCCACAGGAGAAACACACGGTGGCGCAGAGCAGGGGAGGTGGTTAGTAGGAAGTGGGCAGATTCTGCACCTATTTGGAGATCAGTAGGAACAGCTGACAAGCTAGATGTGAATATAAGAGGCAGTAGTCAGGTATAGTGACACATGCCTGAAATCCCAGCTACTTAGGAGGCTGAGGTAGGAGGATCTCAAGTTTGAGGCCAGCCTGGGCAATTTATGAAGTCCCTGTCTCAAGATAAAATATAAAGGGCTTAAATGTAGCTCAGTGATAGAGCACTTGCCTAACATGCACAAGGCCCTGGGTTTAATTCCCAGTACTAGAAAGAAACATCTAGGTGCGGTGGCACACTCTGGAAGCTAAAGCAGGATAGCAAATTCAAGCCCAGCCTGGGCCACAGAGTGACTTAGTGAAGCCCTGTCTCAATGTTTAAAACAAAAAGGCTAGGGATACAGCCCAGTGCAATGGCCTTGTGACCAATCCCAAGTAGCAAAAAAAAGTCAAGACTTTTGGCCTGAAAAATCAGAATGGTTGGTTGACATTTGTTGACATGGGGTGTTCCCACTTACTGCCTGCAGCTGGTATAAAAGCAAGGGTTTGGTTTAGAGTGTGTTAACTTTGAGATGTCTCTTGGGCACCAAAAAGCTGGTATCAATAGGCAGTTGGATGTAAGAATCTGGAATTCAGGAACTGTGGATCTGGATGACAGATCCTACTGGGGGCTGTTGGCATATCAGTGGCATCTGCAGTTCTATCTGGAAAGCTTTTACCCAGAGTCTTGACAGTGTCTGGTTCCCAGCCCAGGTCAGGCCTCTCAGGCAGACATGGGCCAGCAGAGACTGCAGCTGCGATGGGGCAGCCCAAAGTGCACAGATCCATGCCTATTCCATGACCTCTTAAGCTAGGGCCATTTCCAAGCTGCTGCAGTGAGTTGGGGTCAGCCCTGTCCAGGGCCATTGCTCACCCTGTAAGTTTGGATTCCAAAAGTCATGGTAAGTTGACAGCTGAAAATGTACTGTGTTCGGTTTTTGCCTGTGAGAACGTGGATTCATCTGCACACGCGGAGCGGGAGCCCGGAGCTTGCAAGGAGAACAGCAGCTAGGCCTGGCGGGAGAGAGCTGAAAGCTTCTGCCTTCAAAGGTGAAACTGCAGGAGGCGGCCCTGGCCATTTACAAGAAAAGGAATTGGCTGAGCAGTTCCTATCTCTCTGTCTGCTTCCCATTGTCTCTATGGGAAAACACAGGACCCTCCAAAGGGCCCCCATTCATAGGAAATCTCAGACTCAGGCAGGCTCCATCCTTTTACCTCTGGGAGTCTTAAGCTGAAATCCTGTACGCTTCTTCCCAAAGGCTTCTGTCTCCACCCCCAATTCATAACCCCACTTCTGCCCTATGGCAGGGGAGCTAAAAGCCCTTGCATCTGCACCTCTGAGGCACAGCCCAGGAAAACCTGCTTGTGGACCATGAAGAGACTGCTGCCCAATCGGGTCCCCAAGTTGGCACATACAGAGGCTACTCTGCTCTCAGAGCCTTGCTGTGGGGCCCTCCCTTCCATCTCTCCCTCCTTTTAGCTATCCTATTGTTGAGAGATGGGTCCTCACACAGATCATCCCCTGGGAGCGTACTGATACTCTATCAGAATTTCCCTGGCCCTAACCCACAACTGTCTAAAATACAGTATCAAGGAGTGAGGGCTATAGTCAGTGGTACAATGCTTGCTTAGCATGTGTGAGGGCCCGGGTTCAACCCCGAACTACCCACAATCCATAGTTAAGTTAAGGACTGGGGATTTAGCTCACCGGCAAAGCGCCTGCCTGGCAAGCGCAAGGTCGTGAGTTCGGTTCCTGGTACCGGAGAAAAACCAAAAAAAACCAAACAAACAAACAAACAAAAAACATAGTTAAGTTGAAGATATCTAGGTCTGAGATCAGAGACCCTGGTGCTATCTTCCTTCCCAGCCCATCAACGCCCAGCATGGAGCGCCCCGAGGCCTAAAGAAGCCAGGCTCCTGAGGCCCACAGATTTGTGCTGTCCTCAGGGTCAAACACGCAGGGTAGGGCTGGGGTCGCTCCTGCAAGCGGTCATCCATCCAGATCCTTCATACCCGACCCCTTCTCAGGCTGTGGGCAAGAGATGGACAGGAACTCCTTTACCTCACATACCGGGCACCTCAGATCCAGGCCACAGGTTCGCTTCTTCTGGAACTGTGGCTCTAGGGGGCGCTGTGGCTCCTGGCTCTGAGCGCCCCCTACTGGGCAGCCAGAGAAATGCTCCCAGCTGAAGCTCCACCCCCACCCCAAACCCGGTGGTCCACTGGTTGAGGGAGGAGACCTGGAAGGGGCCTTGCGGGAGGGATCCCGCCTCACTCCCCAAGTAAGGTCTCAGTCTTCTGCCTTTGGAAAGGGGTTGTTTTTCATGAGCCTGAACTCCAGAAACGCTTAAGAGCTGGAGCCTCTTATCCGTGCCGCTCCTAACCATCTAAGCCTAGCCCAGGTGAAGCCAGGGCTGGGAGTGCCACAAAGTCCTGTCCTTCAGGAAATGACTTGCAGAGCCCAGCCCCAGGAGCCCTTCAGAGTGTGCTGGCTTAGGGAGGCAGTCTGAACGCCTCCTTCAGCCACTCCACCCCTCCTGCCTGCACCTGGGGACCTGGGCAGACCAGCTGGAGAGGCCAGGCAACTTGGCTACTTTGGGCAGACACCCCGAGGGACCAGGCGCCGACTCTGCTCAGAAGACTTGGCACAAAACACCCTTCATGCTGAGCTGGGCCAATCACAAAGAACAGACTTTATTTAAGTATTTGGCACTAAGACCCAAGTTCCAGCCTCACAGCTGAAGACAGAGTCACTTTGCAACTGTACCATGTCTTATGTAGAATGAATAAGTTAATGTTAACTACGCTCAGGCCCAGAAGCTCGGGCCTCCACCATGCTGGGGGTGGGGGCACCTGGACAAGGGGCGGAGACCTAGCAACAAATCACAGCAGGCCCTTCAAGCATAATGGAGAAGAGGGCCCCAAGGTGGAGACTACCGTAAGATGAGGCAAGGGCAGTGAGAGGAATGCTACTGCCATCTCCTCAGGCTCCACTCTCCTCCCTGACTCCTGTACACCACCCTGGTTCTTCCCTCAGCAGCCTCTGGAATCGCCACTGTGTCCTGGGGGCAGTGGCTCCTCTGGCTGGGCATCGTAGTTCTCAGAGCCTTCTGCTACATTCACGATCTCTGTCCCAGTCCAGGGAACTCGCAGGGCAGAGTTCTGCATGGGCAAAACTGGAGTCAGCACTCCCTACACCATCTGTCGTTTCTTCTTCCAGGCAAGACCCTACCTGGGTATCTCCCTGGCAGTAAGGGAGGGCCTAGGGTCCAGGGATTAGAAGTGGCCTTAGCACTTCCGGGGTTTTCATTTCAGAAGCTGGGACAAGACATTAATGTCCTCTAACACAATCCAGCCTCTTGTCAGGACTCAGGAGGAAGCACTCCCGTGTGTATACAAATTAAGAGCAGACATGTGGCTGGAGCAGCAACTCTCATCATCGTCCACTCCCCAGCACAGCACCGAAGTGATGCTTTTCCAAAAATATTCATAAGGTGTTGGCTTTTAGGACCTGGATGAAAAGATGTCAGAGGGAGGAGTAGGCCACCCAGCCCTTGTGATCCCAGCAGCGGTCCAATGGTGAGCTGCTCCCCACCAACCAACAGCACAGGCCAGACCCACTCCAGGACCTTGCAGTTACGATTGGGTGCTCCACTGGTTGGGAGCCCAAGTACATAACAGACAGGACAGTGACTGGGACCCCTAGTCCCAGGGGTCAGGAAAATAGCAGGGTCAGGAAAATATGGGAGTACAGGAAGACAGAACTCCACCAGGATACGCTGACCTTTAGCTCGCGTGCATCACAGAGCACGTTATAAAGGGGAAGGAGCATTTCCCCCAGCCCGTTGGCGCCCAGAGACCTGGGAAATGGGGAGAAACCCACGCATGAGTGTGAGCCATGTCCAGGCTCCACAGCGCTGGGGCTGTTCTTTCTCAGAAACAGAGCAGAGTGTGTGAGGCATCCTGAGGTGGCCCTGTCTGCCACTTGTCTTGCCTAAGGAGACAGATGTTGTAATCAGACAGGCAAGGCCTTGAGTCCAAGACGCCAAACTCTGGGGATACAATGCAATCATATTATCGGGAGCTTGTGGACAAATCACAGATACAAATCCTCAGGTCAGGAAGTCCGAAAAAAACTTGTACAAAAAAAACTCCAAAAAACAAGAAAGGTCTCAGCTCCAGATCATCGGCCTGCGATGGGGTTGGAGGAGCTAAGGGAGGCACTGGAAGGGTGAGGGGCTCAGCCCTGGCCCCACAGTGAAACAGTCTTTTCCAGCAGCGGCTGAGGCACTTGGAACATAGAGTTACACCTGGCTGATGATCTCTCCGTTCTCGGGGACAAAGACTTGCACAGGGGCCCCGTCAGGCGCTCTCCGAAGCACACACACGGTAGGCATCTGCCAGGGGCAGGAAGAGAGAAGAGGTAGGTGAGCAAACCAGGCAGGACTGTCAGGATAGCGAGTCCAGTTACACATGGTGACCGCTTACCGACAAAGACCAGCAGCAGTCCTGCCTCCCTGTAAGAGGAGCCCATTCCTCCCTATGAGGCTGTGCTCCCAGGGACCTTCCTCTATCCATCTGCCACTCAGGTTCCTTTGGGGTGCGACAGGCACCCTGACCTCCTTCTCCCCATCTTTCCTGGGCTCGAGTCTCAACACTCTCCCTGTTTGGCAGGTTGGTATGGGCCAGGCCTGGGCCAAGGACAGGTCCAAGCTCGCAGGAAGGGAGAGCACGTCAGCTGGAGGGTGCGGCTGGGCCCGTGCCAGGGCACTGCCCAGCCCAGGATGGCAGCTGCAGCCCACAGAAATGGTGTATGTGTTCCCATTGGGGGTGGGCACTGGAGGTCATGCAGCTGGGCTCTGGGAATCTGGGGGTCTCAAAGCAGCAGCCTGTTGATAACTTCTGGAGCACATCCTTTATGGAGCTTCAGTACCAGGGAGGGAGAACAAAGAAAGAATTCATAGGTACTCTCCCCACTCACAGAATGAAGAAATGAGGTCCTCAGGCTGCACACCACGCAGCACCCTACAACCCCAGTGGCCCCTGGGGTTCTGGATAAGACTGTCACTTACTTACTACTCACCAGCACTGCTCCAATCATTTCAGCCCCCTACCCATTCTATGAAATAGGTCCTTTACTACTCGCACCTCACAGAGGCAAACAGAAACCCAGAGGAGTTAAGTAACATAGCTCGTAAGCAGCACTGGGATTTGGACCCGGTCATCTAGCTCAAGGGTCTGTGCTCCTAACTGTGATGTCACCTGTGTTTCAGCCTGGTGTCAGGAAGGAATATAACGCATAGGCAATCACAGGTTCTTATTTCTGCAAACCTATCTCCAGAGTCTCCCTTTATCCTGGGCCCTCAAGTCAGGAAATTCCAAGGGTTAATTTAGGCAGTTTGTGATTATGAAGAAGCTTATCTGTTTTGTGGATCATCTGCAAAGCTATTGTAGGGGGTGGGGGTGGGGGATGATGTTCTAGTCATCTGCTCCGGGGCACATGGTATGTGCTCTTTAGCTAGAGGTGGCAGGCAAAATTAGCAGGCGCCCTAGGGAAATCAAAGGTGCCTTCTGAAGCCAAGAGGAAGTCTTCTTCTGGCCTGATCTTCCTAACTGGGGGGTCACCTGGCCACTGGGCTGCTAGTTTGATATCTCTCTACTCTTGATTTTTTTTTTTTTCTTGAGTGAGGGTCTCGTTCTGTAATTCAGGCTGGCCTCGAACTTGCTGCTATCCTCCTGCCTCAGCCTCCCGAATGCGGAGATTACAGGCATATACCGCCACACCCAGTTTTCTCTACTCTTGGATTTGCCAGGAAGCAGCCTTTCCTGGTCTAGCATCCCTCCTCCCCTGCTCCAGGGCCCCTGCAGGGCTGCTCACCTGTGCACGGGGTCCCGGGGCTCGCCCGAAGCCCTCTCTCCCAGGAGGCAGGCTCCGCACCCGGAAAGCTCCTTGGCGGTCCAGCGAGTGCGGGCGGCTGCTCCGAAGGCGCGCGCGCTCGTGCCAGCAGCGCAGCTCCTCGGAGACCGCAGCCTTGCTGAGCGCGCGGCCCGTGGGACTGTCCTTCAGCGACGGCGTCCGCACGACGCGGCTGTGCGCGGGTACGAGCCGCTGGTAGCGCAGGGCGGCGCCCTCCTCGGCGTACGCGGGGCCCGGGCCGGTGCGGCACAGCTCCCAGTCGCCAGGCCGCAAGTGGCTCTCAGCCACTACCACGTAGCGCCCGGCCGGGAAGTACCCGGGGGGCAGCAGCAGCTTGGGGTAGTGGGCAACCAGCTCTCGGCCACAGGCCGGGCCCCAGGGCCCGTGGTGGCGAGGCGGCTCGGGGGAACAGAGAGGCCGCAGGAAGGAGATGTCGGGGCTGCTGCTGCCCGGCGAAGTGGGGTGGGAGATGCTGGAGACATCGGAGCCGCTGTCCTCCGAGCAGGAGTGGCAGGCAGAGTGGGGCAGCGGGGGCTTGCTTGCCGGGAAGCAGGAGTCCGGCACCGTGACTGTGTAGTGAGTGGGGCGGCGGCGGGGGAAGGCGCTGCGTCCTCGACCCTCGGCCCCCACGCGGAAGGAGTCCACCCTGCAGAGAAAGGAGGCTGCTGAGTGGGGCTGCGCGGGTCCGGTGTTAGGCACACGCAGGGCTTAGGCAAACGAAGAAAGCCCCCAGCCGGAGAGATGTGCAGATGTAGCATACTGCCCCCTCGTGGAGGTCCTCCCAAGGCCTTTCCACATCATGACAAAGTAAAAGTAACAGCTGACCCTTGGTGAGGGATTGGGTCTAGCAGGCCCCTGGATAGGTGCTCAAGTTCTTTGTAGGAAATGGTATCGTGTTTATATATAACCTGCAAGCGCCCTCTTGTATACCTTAGTCATCTCTGTAGGGTACTTTAATACTTAGAACAGCATAAACGCCATGTAAATAGCTCTTATACTGTATGTTTAGGGGATAATGACAAGCAAAAAGTGTCTGACAGGTTGAAGACATGGCCCAGAGGTAGAGTGCCTGTCTAGTATGGCAAAGGCCTGGTTAGATTCCAGCACTGAAAAAAAAGTCTATACATAAAACACATGTCCAGGGCTGGGGATTTAGCTCAGTGGCAAAGCGCCTGCCTGGCAAGCGCAAGGTCATGAGTTCGGTTCCCGGTACCAGAGGAAAAAAAAATAAATAAATAAAAAAAAAAAACACATGTCCAGTACAGATGCAACCTTTAAAAAAATTAAATTGCTTTTGGGCCAGGGATATAGCTCAGCGGCACAAGCGCCTACTTGGCAAGTGCAAGGTTCTGAGTTCGATTCCTGCTGCAAAAAAACATATGCTTTTGGTGTTCGGTTGGTTGAACTCACAGAAGTGGAGCCCAGAGATAACAGAGCACCAATGCTACGCTATACCTGTGCCAGGTATTTTCAGGCAGCTCTGCAGTCGCTGTGTTCAGTGGCATGTCATCTGCAGAATTTGTTCAGGTAGATGCTGTCAGGTGTCAGATTTGAATGTGAAAAGCAATCCCATGGTGCTGAGGGCAGCTTCAAGCAGCCCAGGACCAGATGGGGTGGAAATCCAACCTGCTTACATGCCCAGGCATCAGGCTTGTACACTTGGCCTTTTGCTAATGTGCACAAAGACACTGTTTGTCAAATGACCCCGGTTGTAGATACAGTAGCAAATGCACTGCTCTACTTGAATGCTGCTTGGTGAGTACCCCGGAGAGGCTCTCATGGTGCCCCAGGCCCCTCGTGTGGTATGGCAAATGCTGCCTGTCACAGCTCAGCCGCTGGCACTCTTCCCAGGTAGCAGGTGTCTCCAAAAGGAACACATAGTCAATTCTCATTATTTGTAGATTCAGTATTCTCGAATTTGCCTACTTGCTGAAACTTCTGTGCTAGTTCCAAAGTCAACAGATACAGTACAGTCACAGTCACTTGAGGACATTCCCAGAACATCAGAAAGTTCCAGGTGCTCTAAGTGTACATCCCAAGTTGAGGTGGAACAAGATCAAGCTCTACCTTCCTGTTTCAGCACTCATAGCCAGAAACAAGGGTCATTCTGTGTGATTACTTAGAACACTTTAAAAAAAAAAAAACAACTTTTTTTTACCTTTTGGTGCTTTTGGTGATTTTACTATGCAAGTACAAGAGGAATCTCATGTGTATATACATGTTATGTGTGGTACTCGGGATTGAACCTGGGGCCTCTCGGCCAAGTGCTCTGCCACTGAGCTATATCTTCAACCTCCTTATTACAATATTTTATTTTGAAACAGGGTCCCACTAAATTGTTCAGAGTGGCCTCAAACTTCTTATCCTCCTGTCTCAGTCCCCCAGGCACCTGGATTATAACATATGTACCATAACACCAGGCCCACAGACAGTCTTAAACGTGCTATATCCACTTCTTAAGTGCAAGAAGACTATGCTGTCTTGTGGAAAAAATAAATGTGCTACCTCAGCTTCATTGAGGTGTAAGTTAAAATGCCACATGTTGGGGCCGGGGATATAGCTCAGTGGCAGAAGCACCTGCCTGGCAAGTACAAGGTCCTGAGTTCGATTCCCGGTACCAAAAAAAAAATGCCACATGTTGTGAATTCAATGTTACTGAGGTCACAAATATGTTAAACAGGGTGTCTTTAAACAGAAACTCACATAAGGGGCTGGGGATTTAGCTCAGCAGCACAGCGCCTGCCTGGCAAGCGCGAGGTCATGAGTTCGATTCCTGGTACCGGAAAAAAACCAAAACCAAAAAAAAAAAAGAAACTCACATAAAATCCAGTTATATACATTGATCAGTTGATGAACACTATCATGACCAAGGACTCCCAGCAATCTAACACCATATTTTCCCTAGGGGCAGTGGTTCAGTATTTGCTGCTGAGTCCCTGCAGCAGTGTTACAGAATATGACCACCATGAATAGTGAGTCAGCTGCACATCACCTGAATAAGAGACGTGCTCATTATCAGGGGCCAATAGAACAATTGGAAAAGTATCTCCTGGCATCAGCGAACACAGCAAGGTAGAAAACTTGAATCAACTTGTGCAAAAAGACAAAACTGGAGCCTTTGAAAGAAAACTTCTTGCTTCATGGATGATATGCTTTTTGATTGTGGTCCTGCCATCTCTTTCTCCTTAGGAGAAGCCATAATACTAGCCATGGGCCACCCAGGGTGTCCCCCTTGCTTCCTGGAAGTGTCCGTCCTCCCACGGTGGGGCTGGAAGGTGGTGGTCCCTGCATCTGCAGGGAGGCTCTCTTACCTCAGAGACTGTGACTGGCCCCGCCTCCCCTGTCTCCCCTGCATCTCTGGGGTGGCTGGGGCGCTGGTGCATCCCTGTCGCTGTCCTGGAGCACTGGGGATGGGCCCCATGTGGTAGGAGGCTGGCTCCAGCAGCCACAGGCTAGAGGCAGTGGGTCCGTCCTGGGGTGTGGTAGCCAGGCTGCTGCAAAGGGATTGGGGAGAGGTCAGTGACAAGAACGTCTCCACTGAGGGACCCGTGATGTGCAGAAGGATGAGGGCATAGTGAAAGGGGGCCTCCAAGTTAGGGTGCACACTACCAGCACCTTAGGGAGCTGCCAGTGGTCACATCGCTCCTGTCACCCAGCTAAGGGGACGCTGATCTCCACCTTTCCCCTCTTCCACCCTCGGGCCCAGCAGGCTGCCCCCGCTCCGGGCCCTCCCTTCCTCCCCTCACCTGGACTCGCTGCTGGCCTCAGAAGACTTCCTGGCCTTCTCGTAGGGGTGGTCCAGGCTGGTCTCCTTCCAAGGGCTGTTCTGGATGGGGGCGCGCTCCAGGGCCTCAGGCTCAGGTCCTGCTGGCTGCAACCCCTCAAGGCTCTGGGGTGGGACAGCCCGGGAAGGCGGGGCTGGGGACTCTGGGGGAAGTTTGGGTGTTTGGGAATCCTCTGCAGGGTAAAAGAAACCTGATAAGGGCAGAGGCTGGGGAACCAGCCCGACCCCCTCTGCAGCCTGTGCTGTGCTCTCCCGCCTGTGCTTGGCTTGTCCCGCTGCTTCCCGCCAATGCTGCAGCTTGACACAAGAGTTCATTTTTCTCTTTTGGGACCCCCTCCCTCCCACAGTCCTACTTTACACCTGCCTCCCTTGAGAAGCCTCCCCAGCTTGGCTTTTCTTGGTTCACATTACTGCACTTCTAGCCTTTGCTCCTGGTGCCATGTTGGCAGCCAGCCTCCGTTACCAGTTTTTCTTGTTCCTGGCATGCCCAAGTGCCCTAGTTTCCTTACTGGCCTAGGAACTTCCCGGGGCAGCACTGCAACACCTTCTTGATTCAGCCTTACCCTGACATCTTTAGCACTGGTGTACAACGGGGTTCTTTGGCCTCACTACATAATTCAGGCTGGTACTGAACTCACTATATAGCCTAGACTGGCCTCAAACTCATGGTGACCCTCCTGTATCAGCCTCCAAAATGCTGGGATTACAGGTGTGCACCACCACCTTGGCCGGTGTACAGGTTCTCAATCCATACACTCTTGGTTCCCCCTCAGTGCTACCTTCTTTTCAAAACTGATAATGATTGTGGACAGATGGCTCAAAGGCTCCGGCTGGTTCAACCTGAAATAAAGCCCCAGGGTGTAGGGACAACCAGGCCCTGCTGGAATCAACCTTTGGCTTCCTCATCAAAACAGTCAAACTTCTGAATGAGAGACGGTCCGCATGCCCCCACCCTCAACTGAGCATGTGCAGAGGAGGCCACATGAGACGCAGGGCTGGCGCCTGTTCCTTCATGAGCTCACTAAACCCTCCCTTCCTGTTCAACATCCTCATGAGCAAACTCTGCCAAAGCCCACGTTCTTGCAGTAGAAACCCAGCCTTGACTGTAGTTCCCAATCGTCCCTCTTACCTTCCTCCAGAAGTAGCCCGTCAGACAGGGAGCTGTCATCTGAGGCACTGAGCTCTGGGGAAATCAAAGGCAGAGAAGAGAAAGAGGTGAGGACACTAACCCATAGATAGGAGTAGATAGCAGTAGTGAGCAACCCCAGCCCACTATCATGAGCTTAGACAGAGAAAACAGAGAAAAGCAGAAGTCAAGGGCTAGGAGACAGAAAACCTGTTTTTAACTGGTTCTGTCAGCCATGCAACTTTGAAGAAACTATTTCAGGGCTCTGGACCTCAGTTTCCCCACCTGTCAAAATAAGCTTAACAATAGAAGGGACAGGCAAAGAGGCACTTGGGAAGCCCCTGGGATGAAATGAATTTTGTCAACTTTTCTGTAGTCTTCTAACATTGTAAGTACAACTGAACTCAGTCCGGAAACGCCTGCACTGCCCGAAACAGCAACAATGGGAGGTGGGAGTCCGAGTGGTGGGACTGTGAGGCCAGCTTAAGTTAACACCTGGCCAGCCAGCCCTAAGGAGGGGTCTCCAACTGGTGCAAGGTGGTCGCCTGGAGAAAAGGGAGTGTGGCATTTTGCATGGGCCTGCAGCAGCTGCCTCCCAGGAAAGATCTAGAGAACAAGCCTGATGTGACCTGAATGGCACTCACAAAGCATTTTTAAATGTTTAACAATGGAAGTGAGGAAAATGAATAATAACTGATGTTTCCACAACGCCAATACTTTTCTATGTACTCTACATACTGATTCATGTAATTTCCATAACCACATAAAGGAGTTACTATTCTCTCCATTGAGGAAACCAAGTTTCAGGAGTAATACTGTTTGGGTCCATCCACTAAAGGGTGGCTGAGTCAGAGTTCACACTCAGTGTGACCAGAGTCTATGCTCTTCACCCCACCCTCCACTGCCTCTGTTATTAGCCAGCATCTAATGCATAGGTCATTGCCAGAAGGTTCTAAGAAAAGTAAACAGTTCCAGCCATCTTGAAACTTCTATAAAGGGGTTGGTAAGCTACAGCCCATGGGCCAAATCTAGTTCACCAGCTGTTTTTACAAATTACACTTCATTGGAACATAGTTACAGATTCATTTACCTAATGTGGACTGCGCTAGCAGCTACAATGGCAGACTTGTGATGATATCACATGACCCACAAAGCCTAACTCATTTACTATCTGGCCTTTTAATAAATTGGAAATACTTGCCAATCTTTGATTGGTAACTAAAATGAAACAGAAACTTTATCCAGAACAGTTCTACTCAGTAGGAATATGGTTCAAGGAGCTGGGCCTGACATCAGAGCAGCCAGCCAGCCCTGGCTTCACCTGGCCCCCAGTGAGCCCTTGCTTTTTTTAAAAAAATAAGATTTTTAATTTTTGCAAATGCCAAGTTGAAAAAGTGACGAATCTGTTACTCTGTGGACCAGTAGTACAACCCTGTGGTATGTTTTGGTTAGAACACGGGGTTTGGGAAGAAAGACATCATTCCCCATCACCCTTAACCTTCATGTAAACAGGCAGATCTGTTTTGCGGGGCCAAAAGGTACAAAGCAAAGAGGGAAATCTAGGGACCCAGTGGGGAGCTGGCAGAGCACACTGATCTGTCAGAGGCAGGTGGCTCCTGCGGGCCATCACTGTCTCAGGCCCCGTCCCCACCCACCCCTGGGCTCCATCTAGCACAACTCCCTCAAAGCAGCAGCAGCAGCAGCAGCAGCAGCAGGATACCCCAGGTGGGGAAGTAACATGAAGCCAATACTTAAACTCAGCATTCTCAAAGCTCTGCTGCCCAACATGGTTGCCACCAGCGACATGAGACTATGCTTATTAAAATGAAATCAAGTTTAAAGTCACTCTAGGCACAGTTCAGATGCACAATAGCCACATGAGGCGAGCGCCTCCCATACTGGACAGCACAGCTGAAATGCTAATAGGGAGCATTGCTAAAGACTGATACTGTCAATCAACAAACACACACTGCGCACCTGTTCCATCACAGAGGCGTGTGCTGGGGTGGCTCTCATCAAGTTCACCACAGTAAATTTCAGGTTCAATGCCTGGCTGTTCCTTGCCACCTGCAGAGTCTGGCTAATTACTATCATCTGGCATAATTACTTTCCCAAATTGAATAACCCTTGTGGGGAGATCTAGGTCGTGGGCTGGGCTTTTGTTTTACTTTTTGGTTCATTTGCTTATTTTTTTTCCTTTTTAATTCAAAACACCTTTCAGCTCCTAATTATCAATCCTTCTCCACTTCCTTCTTTCTAGGTAAGGACAGCTTGGCAGAGAAGCCCCAAAAGAGGAATTGCTTGTCTAGATCCACCTGCGCCGGGGCTCCTGAGGCCAAGCATTAAACCCCAGGACCTTGGCCCAAGTGGAGACGGGACTGAGTTTGGGGGCAGGCTCTCTGCCAGAGTTGGCCAGGTCAGCAGCTGTACCAGCTCTTTCCCCTGCCCAGCTCAGCTTCTCCTGGCCAGAGTGCCCTGAGAAGGTTTCAGAACCTCAGCCTCCTGCCTCCCACAGAGGGTTAAGCCAGAGCCCAAGGCATGTCCTGGCCTGCTCTCCACGCCCGGCAAGGAGCGTCATGGGTCACAATGGCAGCAGCAGAGTGACATCTCAGTACCAACCGGGCCTGGGCGGAAGCTCTCAACAACTGCAGTGCCTGTAGACCGGGGCTGCTGAGCAGTACAAGGCTGGAGGGGCCAGAGGGATAGAGACCAACTGGGACAGGGCACAGCTCACCACTGACAAGCACAGAGCAAGTCGGTCCTTAAGGGCTTCCAGGCCCAGGTCAGAGCTGCCTTTCCCGGAAAGGCCCCCTCGCAGGGAGAGGAACGGGAATGGAAAACATCTTTTCCATAGGAGGCTTGCAGGCCAGGAGCATTTTCCTGCAGCCAGGGCAGGCCGGAAACACTCAACCAGAGAGAGGTCTGGCCACCAGGCCCTAGGGTCAACTCACTGCTCTTCTGGCTTTACCGGTCAACTGTCACACACAGGCACTTCCTTCTTTGCTATCTATACCCTGCTGGTGTCTGGTCAGATATCCTATTGTAAATTAGAGGGCACAGGTGGGAGCACATGCTGAGGCCATGGGGCGTGGAGACCAGGGAGGAAGGACAGCAATGGTGCAAATAGCCAAGCTGAGTGCAGGGTTAGCAGCCACTTGCTAAGCCGAGCCCAAGGCCTCAGATCCGGTTCTGCCTCAGGGCCGCTGTCCCCTTGCCTGCTCTTCTTCCTGCAGATGCAGCCAGGGAGGACTGGGGCCCAGGAGCGAGGTCTGGGGGTGGGGACTCAATGGAAATCTGTAAGTCATGACCTGACAAGCTGGATGTGGGTCAGGACAAACAAAATAATCACACCTCGGGGTTGAAACCCACCAACAGGAAGCTAACCCAGACCGGATATGCTTAAGTCATGTGCAGGCTCCTGGCATTGACAGTTCACTTGGTGCCCCACAGCCACCCAGAGGGGCCAGGGGTCAGGGACAAAACCATGGGCATAATAAGCAGAGAAGAGATGTGGATCCCACTCCTGACAAGTCTAGGGCACTGCTAGATACTGAAGGGATTGTGGAGGCTCAGCACCAGCCTAGACATCCTGTGAGTAACATGGCCTTGAAATAACTGCCCGATCATCTACGGATGGCAATGGTCCATCCCTGCTCTGCGTAACTCAAGCCAGGGGAAAGCGCATCACTTCACAGCCTCAGGTTCTTCCCAGGACCCTGATGCAGATAAGCTGTTGCCCTGTGGGTTTCGGATACTTTGGCTGAATAAACCCTGGATTAAGCTCAGGGTCAGCCCTCCTGCCTAAGAAGTTCTTCTTCTACCCCTCTCCCTCCAGAGCTGGGGACTGAACCCATGGCCTCCCTCCTGCACTCCTCTTTTGTTTTTCTGAGACAGAGTCTTGCTGATTTGATGAACTGCCCTGGCTGGGCTGGAATTTGCAATCTTCCTGTCTCAGCCTCCCAGGGTGTTGGGATTCACCACCCCAGGCTTAGGAAGTCTTTTGATGCCTTTGCAGAAGATGCAGGAGGGAGTGAGATGTTTTCAAAGAAGATGGGGAAGAGAGATCTCCCAGGAGGAAGAAGGCTTGCTGGGGGTGCAGAAGGTAACAAAGGGACCCAAGCAGCAGTTCTGCCCAGCTGGTGGAGCACTGAATGTAGTGCCAAGAGCTCCCGCGGCGCTGACTGAAGGCAAACGCGGTAGCACAGCGCCACGCTGTCCACCACCCCACACGCCCAGGCCGGTGGCCTCACCTTGGCCCAGCGCCTGGACAGCGGTGGCGGGAGGGGGCTCGCTGTTGCGCCGCCGCTCACCCAGGCTGCGCCGCAGCTCGCTCAGCTTCTTCTCCTCCTGCAGTGCCGCGTGCTTCCGCTGCCGCCGCATCTGCTTGCTGAGATTCTCCTCCGCGCACAGCCGCCGCGCAGCCTCGGTGATCTGCAGCTGCAGTGCCAGCTGGCGCTCCAGGCTGCTCAGGGGGTCCTGGGGAGGGTTGGGAGTTTGGGGACAGGCAGGCTCTCAGGGGGTGCTGGCCCAGTGCTGTGACTCCTTGGCCCTAAGCCCAGAGGACGGAGGGCAAACAGACAGCAGCCCAGGGATGTAGAGCAGAGGGTGGAGTGGTGGGAGGGGCTGAAGAACAACTTGGCGCGGGAGAAGCTGGCATGGGAACCCACCCGGGCCTGCCTGCCCAGCTGGGCTGGGTGGAAACTCAGGTGGGACACTTTCCCTCCTGACCCCAAAGGGCTGGGGAGGCTAGCCCATGGGAACCTGCTGCCATCTCTTCATGGGAAAGGGCAGGCACCCACGGCCCAGGCCCAAGCTGCCCCTGCCACTTCCCTCCTGGGCCGGAAAAGACAGCCCCAGGGACACAGTAACCTGTCTGAGCAGGCAGCTGGCTCTCTGGGTGGGTGGCTGGAGCTCATAATTGATCTTCTGGCCATGGGGACAAACCCAATGTCCTCCCTAGAGTGCCCAGCCCTCCAGCTCCTAAGGTGGCACACTTCCTGTAGCCACCCGGCTACCCATGGGGAGTGCCCCTTATCAACACGGAGGGGGCCAGGCACCGTCATGGGGTAAGCGAGAGCAGCAGAGACCGCTGAGGTGAACGTCAATGGTCAGCCTTGGGACCGAGGGTCAGTGGTGGCCTCTGCAGCGCCTCACCTCTCTGTGCAAGGCCCACTCATCCAGCTTGTACGCTGCTCCTATCCTGCGGCGGACCTTGGGGGGCTTTTCTCCCGGCTTGAGGGGATATTCTTCTGGCAAGATGCCTGTCAGCTCCTGTAGGGAACCAAAGTCTAGCCAGGTGACTCTCCACCTCCCCAGCCTTTGGCAGCTACATGCATCCCATCTCTGGCCCCTGGAGTGCACGGATCTGCCTTCACAGAGGCATTGGGACAGCTGGCCACTCGTTCCCTGGCCATCCCGTCTCCTCTCAGTTAGTTATCTTCTCGTCCCCATCCCTCTGCCTCCTTCCCCTTTTCCTTCACATCTTCTGATCGCTTCCTCCAGAGGGCTACAGGATCTCAGTTACAACCCTCAGAGGCGCTTGTGTCTCCCAGCCCCTCCCCCAGTGCCTGGGCTCTGCCCAGGTCTAACTCACCCCCACCCAGTGCCAGGCCAACGCTGCATCAGAGGGACTTCAGGCCCAGCCCGGCTCTGATTTCCAGAGTTCCCTTAAGAATGCGGATACCACTTTCAACCCTAATATCCCCAAACATGGCTCTGAGTGGATACAAGCGTAGCGGGCAGGGGGACCCAGGCCTCACCGCCTCGCGGAGGCAGAGTCTCCGCAGCTCCTCTAAGCAGGCCTCCAGCCGCGCTTCCAGGGCCTTCTGCTGCTTGTGTACTGCGTGGGTCAGCTCCTTCATCGGGGAGACTGGGCTGTCAGGGCCTGCGGGAGGGCAAGGGTCTCAGGGATGCTGAGGCACAAAAGCCTTTCTTAGACACTTACTGACCACCTTTAGGGGAGTATACATCCATACACACACAGCCCCATGCTAGCTCACAAGTTACAGGTGAGCTGCCATGGCCTGTATCATATCCCCAAAACCCCAGGCTGCTGGCTCCCCAGCAGTGGCAACATTCTAGCTCAGAGGGGAGGGGCTGCCCCACCTGTTGATCTGCGGGGTGCTGCTGGCACATGCACACAGACCTCTCCTGTGCTCTATCGAGACTAGGGCAGAACAGACCCACCAGCTGGTTTCAGCTAGAGACACTGGACCTTAACACTGGCCAGATAAGCCTTTTCAACATCTTAGTAATCACTGCAGCTAAAGTGGAACACTCAGATCCCTGTTCATAAAGAACCAAACTCCAGCCAGACCCTCCAAGGAGAGAAAGTCTGCCTGTCCCTGAGGCCCTCTGCTATCTCCCTTCTTCCCCCAGCAGAGGCCTCCCTGTTCCCACCCTCCGTGAGCTTTGGGAGTCTTAGCTGGCCACCCCGGGGCCTGGGGCAGCGGGATTTCCCCAGCCCACTCACCAGACTGCAGGATGATGCCGCTGTCGGTGTCGCTGATCTCACCCTTACTCTCCATGGTGGGTCTCTGGTAGGAGGGGGCGCAGAGTAGGGAGGGGCGGCACGGGGCCCAGCCGGGGCCAGGATGCGCAGGCAGCCTGGAGTCCTCCCAGCTTTTAAGAGAAAGGCGATCAATAACCAACAAGCTCTATGTGAATCCCTTTGCTTCCAAACAAAGCTCAGGAGTAGATGCTCGAGGGTGGAAGGGTGAAAGGAGGGGACCGGGACGCCAGGTGGGTGAGAAAGCCAGGAGGAAGGGGAAGACGTCTTCCTGGGCAGAGCTGTCCTCAGCCCTGTCACGGCCTACTGCCCTGGCGGCTGGAGCACCTCAAGAATTGCTGGACACTGGGCCTCAGGCCAAGGCCTTGTCCTGGGGCCCCCAAGGTCCAGGTCTGCCTCTCTCTGGGCCAGGTCCTCTAGGCAGGTGTGGCCACTTGATGCCAGAAAGTGGTCCCTGAGTCTTGTTTGAGCCACCAGCCCTGGTCAGGGTCTCAGCCCTGCTCAGGGTCTCAGCCGGCCAGGGCCTGGCAGCTGCTGGCTGCAACAGGGGTGGGGAGGCAGGCGGAGCCCAGGCGGCAGTCTGGAAGGAGAGGCCAGCCACCTCCTCACTGAGTCAGCCGTTGAGCAAGAGTCCAAAAGTCCTTCCGAGTTTCTGTCTGGAGCTTATCCTGCTGCCTCCTCAGAGCACAGGGCCGCAGTGGGGGTGGGGATTCCCAGACCCCCACAGGCGGCCAACAGGACAGAAGAGTAAGCCTCGGGAAAGCTGGCCCCAAAGCGAGGCAGACAAGGAGACCACGGTCAGCCTGACCCAGTGGTGTGGTACCTCTGCCGAAAGGGAAGGAGCAATGGCTTTTATAGACCTGTGTAAACAGCAGAGCTTATCAAGGTACCAGGGGCAGCAGCAATTTAAAACTATAGGCCTGAAGACAATATGTACCTTGCACTTTGCAACTTCAATTTGCAAGGAAGTCCAAAGAGTGCATAGTAGAATTAAAAAAAAAAAAGTTTATAGATCTTTACAAACACGCCAAAGAAACAGTGGCCATATATTTCAGGAACCCCAGGAACGCAGGATGACTGTGTTTACCTTTGCACTGTTCATCTGTCCCAGACCCTTATCCCTCAGCCTTTCTCCCTGCCTGGCCATGCTGTCATCCTCCGTATGGGGCAGGAGGGTCCAGCCAGAGCTAGGAAGCAGAAATGACTCTCAGCTGGCACCCTGAGCCTTTTATCGTTGGACAAAGGGAGGAGGTAATATCAGAGGGGAGGCCATAAATTAGTCACATTTGCCAATTAATTATTAACCACTAAAGAGTTGCCTTGAAAGTTGGGACAACTCAGCCCCTGGGGTGGGAACTTCTGGAAACTGCGGTGTCCCTTAGCAGATCCCCTTTCTCCTGCAATTTCCCCCTCCCCAGCTTGGCCCAGCCCCTCACTGCCAGGGTCAAGGGGTGGCCTTGGCATTCGCTGTGGTCCCGGTCTGATGCCGGAACTTGCTGCTCTAAGTAGGATTCAGTTGTGCTACCACCTATGTTACCTGGGGAAAGTTACCTGCCTGGCCGTGCCACCTTTTAAGGCACATGAGAATGAAGTATGAGCCTTAAGAGTCTAAAGCACTGCTCTCTGGATCAAGCCAGTTCAGGAGACATCCCCACCCCTGGAATCCTTCCTGGTCTTCCCAGGATCCCAGCCCCTCCGGGCGAGCCCCAGCACTGGGTCCTAAGAAGCAGTGCAGCACGCAGAACAATGTCCCCAGGAAAAGGCGGAGGAAAGAAAAAGGTCACAGAGCCAGGAGCGGACCGCTAGGGCACTTTCTCTTAGGCGTGCCATCCCGGACCCTCCCCCATCACAAATGAACCCCCAAAGCCAGGCCTGGGGCTTCTTTGCTCCAGCTCACCTTTGCCAGCCCTTTCTCCGGTGGAGATTCAGGCTCAGCCTCAGGGATAGGTACCCTGTCGGAGCCCACCAGCCCCGTGTTATCCCAGCGCCCCAGAACAGAGCTGGGCAGGAGCAGAGGTGGCCACAGCCAAACCCTGAAGACCCACTCAGCCCGGCCCCGCCCCGCCCCGTCCCGCCCTCACCTGCTTCAGGATTTTAGTCCCGGAGTTCAGAAGGACCCCCTGGGCCAGGCTGAGAAGTCTAGGGGCCGTACATGTCGCCTCTAGGCCTCCCAGACCACTGGCCGGCCACCTGCGCTCTCACTCTGACCGGGCTCCCGGACCGCACGCTGCTGGCTGCCCCTCTGGCCGGCCCTCTCGTCCCTCCCAGGCTGCTGGGCCAGGGGAACCAGGTTACTTGTTGTGACTTGAGTCAGAGGGGAGGAGCAGGTGAGCAAGCCCTTCCCTGAACTAATCCTGACTGCTGACTGTTGCCGGCAGGCAGCTCCTGGGCCTCTGCACTTCCGGGGCCAGAGGGGAGCAGAGAAAGGGGGCTCCCCAGGGAGAAATCCCTGCCAGCAACAAGAGGCAGGCCTTGCAGGGACCCTAGTGCAATGGTCGGGGCTGTGGAATGTCACAGTGCCCTCCTGTCCTGCCTGGCTCTCCCTGCCTTCCTCGGCCCCCAGTTTCCCTTTCCGGAAACTGAGGAACTACAAGTCCCCAAACAGGTAAGAAGTCCACTCTGCATGGAGATAGCAGTGGGAAACTTACAAACACAAGGCAGGGAGTCACTGCTCTTTCTCATACATTGAAGTGGAGCCCCTGGATTGAGTTTTGTGTTTCCCACAACAGGATTTAAAAACCTCACAATGGAGGGTGGGAGGGGCACACCTATAGTCCCAGCTACTCAGCATGCTGAGGCAGGAGAGTCACTTGAGCCCAGGAATGAAGAGATCAGCCCCTCTTTTCAAAACAAGAAGAGAAGGAAAAAGGTTCTGGAGGTGTAGCCTCCAAATCCTGGAGGTTAAACCCATGTGGCCCTGGGTTTAACCTCCAGCACAAAACAAAACAACCAAACCCCTCAGGTTGGAATTGTGTATGCAGATGGCCTAGGGTACTGCAGTGAGAGGACTGGGCCATTCACTCTTTCTCCCCCTCCCTTTTCCTTATTGGTGGGGATGAATCCAGGGCCACTTGCTAAGCAAGCGCTCTACCCCTGAGCTACACCTCCAGCAGAAGAGCTTTCTCTCTTTATTCCACACTTTTACTCACCCCAGGAGCAGCAAGGCCATTACTTCCCTGTTGTAGCTCCACCTCCCAGCAGCACAGCCCCTGGGGCACTGACCTGAACCCCAGTCCTGTCCCTTCCTCTGTAGAAGGGTCACTGTGTGATTCCAAGGCCGCAGGCCACTCCCCAAAAGCAAGGGGACACAGACCAAAATGGAATTTGCTCCTTACAAAAAAATAGGCCTCCACATCTCCCACCCCACGGATCCTCTGGCAAGTGGAAAACTGGGATCCAGCCGGTTTAACAGGGGGAAGCCGAGCTCAGGATGCCTGTGGCCTGTCCTCAGCCGACTGGGACCTCGCTACAGAGAGGGGGCTGCACCCCTCAAGTCTTCATCCCACCCTCCCATCCCCCAGCTCTTGGGTCCTCCCACCATGCCTCCCAGCACCTCAGCTCAAGTTAAGATTGCGTCCCCTACTCCCCATCCCCCAGTCCAAGGACGACTGAGGAATTCTGCTCCCATCAAGCATCTCCGGTGGAGCAGAGCTGTCACAGTGGGCCACTTCCCCTTTGCTGGCACACAGACCCTGCACACCTTCACATTCCGGTCCACACCCCCTTTCCAAACAATGCTAGCCCAGAGTCCTCCAGGCTGACCACCTCCTCCTCTCCCCAGCCTGAGGCAGAGGGGCCCTCACAAGGGGCAGTCCCTGCCCCTGGTGGGGAGCAAGCTCTCTGGGCTTCCCAAAGAACCCACAGCCCAGCCCTTCCCTTCCCGGTCCTCCACAGTACAGCAGTCCCTCCTGCCCCCTACAGGTCTGCACTGTCGTCCAGGGTCAGCCAGAGAGGGACTGACTCTAGGCAAAAGCTGGCCTTGCCCAGCTCTTAGCTCCAAGTGGGGAGGAGAGAGGAATTTTCTAGACTCAGCTGATAACTCACATGTTTAAAATACGTAAAATAAAATGGATCACTAGGAGAACCAATTTTATGGCAATACAGCTCCAGAACTGCCAATACTTCCTTATTAGCATTAAATAGGATCCAGCAGTACATAAGAGCATACAAGTGGTGAGTATAAGCAATGTTTCAAGATAGCTGCTACAACTGCAATATGGTATGAAATGGAATTTTATCCCTGGCAGTCACAGGCAGTCTACCAGTGCTCCCGTGGTTTGCTGTTAATTCAAAGTGATGCTAAATTTCTATTACCTGGTGGTGAAAAAATAAAGATGCAAGGTTCTACTTTCCATCTAAGCTTACAAACCCTCTCAATTCTACCCACACAGGCCTGGAAACTTTTAAGAACTTCTGCCCTCAGGTAATGCACTACCTGGGTCCAGGGGAGAAGTGAAATCTGCTAAGGCCTGGACACACCCAGACGTGAATTCCTTCACTTAAATTGTCTTCTGGAAGAAGCCTGCAAGCCTTTTTACTAGTGATCCGTCTAGTTTGGATCTGACTGGCTTTTCAAGAATCGACGTGAGCAGAAGAGGCCAGGTCCTCTTGTCAGTGATGTCAAAAGCTCCCTAACAAGAAGCACATGGTCTGGGAAGAGCACCTCGTTCCAGACCTAGCATCTTCCTGGTCCTTTCCGTAACCCAGTACCAGCAGTACCAACTGCTCATGGTGGCAGATCTGAGCTTAGAGCTCAGGTATCCTTGCGGGCAGGTTGCACGATAAAGCTATTTGGGTTTTCTGCCCAAACCCAGGGCCATAGTATCTGCTTCCATGCGTGCTGAGCAGGAGCCCTTCCTCCATAACAGAAGACAAATCAACCTACTTGCCTTGATCCTCAAGAATTCTCAGAGATATTTCATTGCCCCACATTTACACCCAACGTTTCCCAAACCAGCAGAAGCTAAGGTCTGGAACGTGGCTGGCAAACCAAGCCTCCCGGAGAATCCCAGAGGGTCCGGTGGAGCTAGTTGATCACAGCATCTAACTCAAAAGACCAAGGGAGAGGTGATATTTCAGGGGCCACCCTGAAAGTGAGGCTGCAGCCCCAACTCTCCCAGCATCATCGCCAAGGCCCCCAGCAGGTGAGGAAGTGGGTTTCTTTGAGAGCCCTGCCGGCGATTGGAACGTGACCTTGGGGAACAAGCGCTTTCCCCTAAGAAGAGGAAAAACGCCCTCTTTAGGGGTCCCATTTCCCAAGGGAAAGTCCTGAATCAGAAAGCTTCTCCACAGCTCTGTAGCCAACCGTTCTCTCAGTTTTTTTTCCAGGTTCTTCTTTTACGTTTATCCGAACTTCTTTAAGCCAGGCACCTCACACTATCGCCCCCCTCCGTGACCCCAGCCGCATCCAGCACAGCAGTCACCGACAGGCCTACAGTTCTCCTCAATGAATGAACGAGCAATCGGTCCGCCAGTAGGACTAACTGGGAAAAGAGGGAAGGAAAACTGTCCGGGACCCTCCAAGCAGGAGGGATGGGAGCCCGTCCCTTAACTGTTTTCTTTCTCCTCTCTGCTCCCTGCACACCGGGAAAGGTGTTCGCTTCCACCGGACGACGGGCGACGGTGGCGTGGGCTGGGACAGGGGAACTCCCGGCGAGCCTGGAATGCGCCCTGAAATCAGACCTCTAGGCTCTCTCAGTAAAAAGCCCCTTTGTCCCGTCCACCCTGCTCCCCTCCCCCACCGCGCCCTGCACTTCCAGGCCGGCCTGAGACTTTGCTCCTTTTGTTTGGCGGCTGCTTGCCTTCCCGGAACCTGGCCAGGAGCTCCGCAGGCATGGGGAAGGACGCAGCAGAAAGGCTGAGGAGTCGGAAACATGCACGTAGGGCAGGAACTCAGAATTCCCACCCCCTTGCAAGATTACCCCCATCTCCGTAAGACCCCGTCCGCGGAGGATGCAGAGTGTGGGCTCAGGGGCTTGATCCCCCAGTTCAGCCGCACCGGCCCCCGAAGTTCCCCCCTTACCTGTCCCTCCGAGCTCCGGCGCCTCCCGCCTGTGCCCGCGCCCCCCGCGCGCGCCGGGCCGTGTCAGGACCTGTGGGTCCGGGCCATCTTCCCGCTCCCCGCTTCTCCCCCCGGCCCTCCCTCCCCGGAGGTATTTCATTTAACTTCGGCATTTGTAGCATCCCAAATGTTAAAGATCCCAAGACATCTGTCCCCTGGTGCATACCAAGGCGCAAGGAAAAGAGGGGAAGATGCGAGGGGGGACGCGGGAGTCTGATCGCAGGGCGGGGGCGGGGCCGCATGCTGCGGAGGGAAGGCGCCTGCAGGGGTGGGGGGTCCTTTGGGAGCCGCGGCTCGAGGGGCAAGGCTGGCCCCCTTTCCCGCCTTGGGACGCCCGCCTGGCGGGGAACCCCCGGCGCTGCCAGTTTCCGCGGCCCGGGCAGGAGGAGGCTCCTCTCTGGGTCCGAGGGCCGCCTTGCATCGCGCGCTCTGGCCTGGCTGGGGGCAGTTTTCATTCCTGGAGACCCGGGGGGTGGAAGAATGGGAGGGGTAGCGGCGGTGCCGCGCCCCTCTGCTCCCTCGCGCGCCCTGCAGCCCAGTGGAGCCGGCCTCGCCTCCCCTCCTGCGGCCCAGCCGGTCCTGCTGGGGACCGGACCGCTTAAAGGGCAGGGCCAGGCTCCAGGAGAACGCCTCCTGCTGCTCGCTGCGGGCCGGCGGAGCCCGCCGCTCCATCTGTCTGGTCACTCGGCCGCCACAGTGTTCTTTTGCTCAGTTAACTTTTATTGAGCACCTACTAGTGTCCAGCACCGTGGATCCAAGTTTAAGCTCCTTCACTAGAGGTTTCGTCCATCTGATCCAGGAACAGCAGCACCAGTGAAGTAGAGCCAGGGGAGAGGGGACTGGTCCTGCCTGAGGATGTCCAAAGCCTGACCTGGGCAGATGGTGCCAGAGGAGCTTGGAGCTCTGAGACCGCAGCGAACTGTACAGAAGCACGAGGGTGAAAGGGCACAGCAGGTCCTAGAGGCTTCTGGGAACTAGCATTGGGGATGAGGAGGGAGAAAGGAGACCCAAAATGGAAGAGCCACGGGGCCAAGCGGCCAGCAGGGGCCTATCCAAAGGCAGGGCTGCTCCCACTGATTGTCCGCACTGTACACACTCTGGAAAGGGAAGGCTCAGCTACTCACCAGACTGAGGCAAGAGGATCGAAAGTTCAAGGCAACTTACTAGAGCTTGTCTCAAAAGTTAAAGCCAGGCATGGTCTGGCATACCTGTAATCCCAGCACTTGGGAAGCTGAGGCAGGAGGATTGCTGCTAATTCCAGGCCAAGCTGGACTACACAGTGAGTTCAAGGCCAGCTTGAGCTACATACCAAGACCCTGTCTCAAAAAAGAAAAAAAAAATTAAAATGGGATACAGCTGTAGGTCAGGGGCAGCGCACTTACCTAGCTTGTGCAAGGCCTTGGGTTCAGTCCCCACCACCAAACTCTGCTCAGCTAGCTCTTGGTCACAGCTGGGCTTGCCCAGAGCAGGTGCCTTTTCTAACATTCACAAGGGCACTGTCTAAGCCAAGTTGAATTGAAGGAGGCCAGGTGTGGTGGTACATGCCTGTGATACTAGCACTTGGGAGGCTGAGGCAGGAGGATCACTGTGAGTTCAAGGCCAGACTAAACTACATAGCAAGGCCTTGTCTCAAGGAAAAAAAAAAAGAGAAGAGAAAAGAAAAGAAAAAGGAAGAAAGAAAAAAAATTGAAGGGAAGTTACTTGTACTAAGGTGTGTGTGTGTGTGTGAGAGAGAGAGAGAGAGAGAGAGAGAAAGAGAGAGAGAGAGAGAGAGAGAAAGAGAGAGAGAGAGAGAGATGGTGATGAGGTTAAGGAAATGGCTCATGGGATTATAGAAGCTGTAGAAACCCTCAGGCTGGAGACACAGGGTAGAGCTGCCGGTGGGGTCCACGCAGTTTGCTGGCAGAATTCCTTGCAGCTCTAGAGGTCTACCTTGGTTCTGTGAAGGCCTTCAACTGATTAGGTGAGGCTCACCTACCTATGCAAGGTAATCATTTTACTTACAATCTATGGATCTGAATGTTAACTTCATCTAAAAGACTTCCATTAAAACGTCCTTCCTGAATAATGTTTGCCCAGATATCTGGGTGCTGTGCCTCGCCAAGTTGATATATGAAACTAACCACCACAATCCTAAGGAATGTTGATCTGACAGAGAACCTGGGCAGATTTCTTTTTAGAAGGCGGCTTTGGTGCAAGTGGTGGGGGAGGGAAGCCCTTGGAAAGGGAAGCCCTGGGGAGCAGTGATCCAGGCAGGGGCTGCTGCGGCCTAGACTGAGGCAGAAACTGTGGAGGAGGGAGATCTGTGACTGAGCGATTAAAACCATGAGCAGTGAGGAAGAAGGCGGAGCTGGGGAGCCCGGGGTTTCAGGCCTGAGAGTTCAGTCTGAGAGGTGTTCACTCTGAGATACCAGTGGTGACACTGGGGGCAACTGTGGCCGCTGAAGCCCAAGGAGACTTGGATCTAAGAGTTTGGGAGCCACTTCCCGGCATGCTTCCGGGACTAGGTGAGATTGCCTGAGGATAATGTATGAAATGAGAAAAGAACCGGGGGTGGGGAGCGGGGAATTCTGGGTATGGAAAGAAAGTAAAACATCTTCACAAGTAAGCGCTCTTACTACTCATGGGATGAGTAACTTTTTGAAATACTGATCTGTGTACTGTCCCCAACACACTCACCCCTATCTCTTCTATGGATGGGAAGCAAAACCTTCCCGGGAGGCCCCCAGCCTGCCAAGACCACGCCAGGGGTCCTGACAGGGAGCGCGGGGACACGGGTCATGGAGGGTCCAGACGAGATAGCCTGGGAATGAGAATGGATGGGGTGTGCCCCGAATAGTAAGGACCCTGCACCAGCTTCCAGCAGGACCCTTGGAAAGTGACAAGACCTCGGTGGGATGAAGGTTGGGACTTGGTTGCCCCGAGTTTCCTGCCTTGATAGATTCCTGCACCCGTGTGTCTATGGAGCAGGACCCCAGTCCACTAGAAGCCCCTGTGGGCTGGAGCAGCTAAGATGGCAGCTTGAAGGTCCTGCTCCTACCCGTCTCTCAGGTCCTCAGGATTCTGCATAAGGAAATGGGATTTTAATCCCCCATATAGGATATATAAAGGACTTAAAGGAAGGCTTACAGGGGCCACCTGAAGAGTCAGGTGTGGGAGAGGCAAAGGGCTGCGTGCACGCAACAGATCCGAAGGATCCAGTCAAGGTCAAAGGCCCGGAGCTCGCTGCAGAGTCCCGCGTGAGTCCGCATCAGGAGGCCAGCAGGCCTGTGCTGCGGGGCTGCGCGGTGTGCGCTGGCACCTGGAGAGAATGGCCAGAGCTGACGGTGGGGGTGGTGGCTCCTCTGCAGAAGCAAACTCGAGACTTCCTTCTTCTTTCTCTTTCTCTTCTCTCCAAGCTACAAGCCTATTTGTTGGCACCACCCACATCTAGGGTGGGTCTTCCGTCTTCAGTGAATCAGTCATCCACACGCAGAACCGTGCTAAGCCAGTCCGCTAGGCATTTCTTACTCAAGTTGACAGCACAGCTAAGGATCACAGAAATTTAATCCTCCAGTTCGCATGTTATTGGCATTTGGAGATGGGATCTTTGGAAGGTACTTAGGGTTAGATAGAATCGGGTAGATAGGGCCTCCGTGATAGCATCAGAGGCTCCATCAGAAGAGAAAGAAAGGTCAGGCGCAGTGGTGGGCACTTACGATCCAGCTACTTGGGAAGCCGAGGCAGGAGGATCACAATTCCAAGACCAGCCTGGACAGTTTAGTGGGATCTTTTTTTCTGTCAAAGTTTTAAAAATGGAAGGGGCTGAGGGTTATAGTTAAGTGCTTCTGAGCTGCTTGCTTGCTGTATCTCATAAAATGATGTCCCCTGCCACATCAGGGAGCAGCAAGAAGGCCCCCAACAGATGCCAGCACCACGCTCTCGGACTTCCTTGCCTGTACAAATACAAGAAACAAATTTCTGTTCTTTTAAATGACCCAGTCTCCTGTTCTTAGCAGGAAATGGGCTAAGGGCTGGTTGTGGTGGCGCACGCCTGTAATTCCAGCACTCTGGAGGCTGAGGCAGGAGGACCAGTGTAAGTTTGAGGCCAGCCTGGGCTACAAAGTGAGTTCAAGGCCAGCCTGAACAGCATCGCGAAACCCTCTCTCAAAAACACAAAAAAAAAGAAAGAAAGAAAGAAAAAAAAAAGAAAATAGGCTAAGGCAGTGTGTATGTTTCACAAATCTTGAGTTTGTAGGTTGAGATTTGTATCCCTCCTACTATAGTCATTGACCGATAAGGAAACTCAGGTCTAGAGAAGCTACACAAGTAAGGTGAGATTTGAAGATGGATCTTTCTGATTCGTGGGAGTCCAGAGCCCCATGGTTGTGGTTGAAAATCTTCAAATGCCAAAGGCACCAGCCAGATAAAGTTCAGGAATGAAGTGTGTCAGGTCTAAGGTCCCGGTCTCCAACCATCACCCTGGTTTGTTTGCAGCCGGAGACAGACTTGGCCCCTGGGGGTGGGGGGAGCGGGGAGAGCAGGAGCCACAAAGGGATGGGACTGCGGCAAAGGAGGGGACCCAGGCTCTGCCTTAGTGGGCAGCTGCTGTAAATGTCCCAAGAAAAAACTACTATTTCAAAAACGAAAAAGGGAAATACAAACTTTTATGTAAAATCTGATTTGGACACGTTTGATTCTTTTACTAGAAATTCAAAGGAGTGCCCAGCGAAATGTGTCTACAACCCTAGGGCTGCAGCTGTGTGGCTGCTCTATCTTGGAGCTGACCCCTCCCTGCAAAAAAAAAGCCTAGAGCCTGTGGTTCAAGACCTGAGTGCCTCAGGCCTCTGAAGAAGCCAGGGTTTGAGACACAGGTGTCTCAGCAGGAGAAGCCAGAGCTTCACTGGGAACAGGACTGACTCAGCCTGTGGAGGGAGCAGGAGGGGGACCTTGGGGGAGAAAGTTGAGCCCCCTTCAGTTTTCCCCCCTTCCCACTTAGGCAGCAGGGGGCATGGGCACCCCACCTTCAGACGGGTGTTCTGGGAAAGGTGGGTGGTGGGGCCTTGAACTCTAGTTGGTGAGGAGGAGTGGGCAGGGTGGGCGCTCGAGGCTGAGCTTCTGAAGGCTACGTGAGGGTTGGGCTCTGCTTTCCGGCCTGACCCCCCACCTCCCCCACACAGGGTGCAGGAGCCTCATCCAGCCGCCCCTGACCCTG